TCCTATAGTTTTTGAATCTGTTGTATAACACTGAGATTGGATTGTTATAAATTTGATGTTTTGCTCTGTTGACAATATTGAGAATTTGAGTCTGTTGAACATCACAAAGTTTTGTTTTCTCTATATCCTAGTGTATTGCTTTCTCTATATCCTAATGTTTTGTTTATTCTATATCCTAGTGTTTTGCTTACTCTATATCATAGTGTTTTGTTTTCTTTACATTCTAGTGTTTTGCTTACCCTACACTCTAGTGTTTTGTTTACTTTATATTCTAGTGTTTTGTTTACTCTATATCCTAGTGTTTTGTTTATTCTATATCCTAGTGTTTTGTTTACTTTATATCCTAGTATTTTGTTTATTCTATATCCTAGTGTTTTGTTTACTCTATATCCTAGTGTTTTGTTTATTCTATATCCTAGTGTTTTGTTTACTCTATATCCTAGTGTTTTGTTTATTCTAGTGTTTTGCTTAACCTACACCCTAGTGTTTTGTTTTGTCATATATCCCGAGATTTTGAATTTGTTCGAAATTTCAGTTTTTTTTTCATTTTGTACATACGTTTCTTCTGCTGGACATTCTAGTTTTGTTCGACTGTGTTATGCATTAAATTTATGTTACTTTTTGCTTCATAAAAATTTACTTAAATAACTTCTATAATTTGGTATTACTGCTTGTTATGCGTTTTTGTGTGAATATCATAATGATGTAGTGAATCAAGTAAATTTCATTTAGACGTATTTGATTGCTTATTTAAATTTATGCACTCCATTTAGAACGCCGTCTTTATTAAGCCTATTTAAATTATTTCAAAGTATAAATTCATGTTACTAGATAAGCCTTTCGTCTTGACTCATGGCCGTGAAAAACTATTTTTTTTCTAAACAACGAATCTTTCAATAGATGATTTTTTGTAAAACTTAGCTGGTTGAAGATGGCGTTGTACTATCTTTAGAAGTCTCTGTAACTCTTACAACTCAGAGCAAGAGGAGCAGACAGCATATGTTGGATGATCCTCTGAGTAATTATACCCTCTATTCACGTGAGAGGTACCTCAGAAAACGGTTCAGAACTTATAAGGGTAATGAGTGCTGAGCACATTGCTTCACGAGAAAGTACAGAATAGTCTGTATGTGAATCTTATTGAAAACGCCACGTTTTCTTCAGGTCCGACATTTTATGCAAGAGAGATTGGTATGTATGTATAACATTTTAGTTGTCTAGATAATAGACGTTCCTTGTACATAGTAGATACATGAATCATTGTCTGTCATCTAGGTGTGTTGCCTGCTGTTCGTGTTAAGGTTCTGATACTGCAATCAGTTTCAGTTACGTGTTAAAATAACGATACAAATGTTTACGTTTGACGTTCTTTATTTTGTGTGAGTAGTTTATTTCGTACTTTTTCATAAATAACCAGCAATAAAAAGAATTACGTAAACTCAGTGCATTTCAATTTCGCTTTCTGGGTACAAAATAGGCTTTATTTTATAACCATTTTAATTCGTTGATATTTTTGTTTAAAAAGTTCTTCTTTCTTCATGTTTGAATCACATTATCAACAGATTAGTTTCTAAGTATGCTATCATAATCACTCGTACAGCCCGCCAATGCCTTTACAGAGAGCGTCGAAAAGTATTTGAATACTTTATAGTTTACCTGGAATGTTTGTTAGTTTGTAGACTTTACCTGCACATTCAGACCATTAAGGTCGTTTAACAGCACATATGTTTTGTCTGTATATATATATATTCTCAACAAAATATGTGTTTCCTGTTTCCAGTATTAGCACCATTTATTCTTAACAAGACTATATACGTCTGAAGATTCCTCCTAGTCTGCATATAAAAAAAAAACAAAAAAAAACATTTATTGATTTTCTTAGAATTGCTAGCTGACATAATCTGTTATATCGTACTGATGTCATCGGTCGTTCCTCTTGTCTGAGGATATTTTTAGGGTGTTTTACTGTACATCTATGTTTAGAACATTTCGCCCTGGTATACGTTATTTCTATTTAAAACTTTGTTAACCTCTCGGTGATTTCTCGTACTCCTCTTCCCGGTGGCTCAGCGGTAAGTCTGGGGGCATATAACGCTAAAAATTGGGTTTCGATAACCACGGTGGGTAGAGTACAGATAGCCCACTGTGTAGCTATGTGCTTAACGATAAACAAACAAACAATTCTTGTGTCTGATTGATATAAATATTGAAGTAAATTCAGGAAATCTTACAAGGCATCTGGTATTATCCCGTTTCATCCACTAGAAATACTGATAAATGGTAAAATTCACAATGACAGTTTTTAAACTACTGAAATATATAAATTGTTTAATCTTCTGATGGCGCAACGGTAAATTTGAGGGATTATAACGCTAAAGTACAGGGTTCGATCGCTGAAAAAAATACAGATTATTTATTATATTTTTATATAGACGATATAATGTTTTTTAAAATAAGGTGAGGTTTTTTTTTTCCAGTCGAGTTGGGTTTCGAGTCTCATTGGAATTGGCCAAACTAGTCTTAAAAGACTTCAAGAAATCATTTAAACATAAGTTTCTTATTTTCTACAAAGCAGGATTTCACTATATTTCACGAAAAGTCGGTTATGAAAGGGGTAAAGACGTTCTCTGGTTTTATTTTTTCAATGCAAAGCTGCACAATGAGATATCTGCGCTGTATCGATTGAACTCAAATAGATTTTTTTTTTCTGTATGCTTGTTCTTAAATACAAACAGCGACTCATCCTCACATCAAAAGTCTTGGTTTACGGAACCCGTTTTTCTCATCAGTAAATATTTGTTGACAGAGTTTTGATCTTATGTAGAGATTTGATCAAGTCTTGGCCTATGGAATCCGTCAAAACTCTGTCACCAAATAATTACTGATGAGAAAAACGGGTTCCATAGGCCAAGTCTTGATCGAAAACTCTACATAAGGTCAAAACTCTGTCACCAAATAATTACTGATGAGAAAAACGGGTTTCATAGGCCAAGTCTTGATCGAAAACTCTACATAAGGTCAAAACTCTGTCAACAAATAATTACTGATGAGAAAAATCTTATGTAGATGTTTCGATCAAGTCTTAGTCGTCAGTCTGGCTATTTGCCCTTAAGCGAACACCATATCGTTATGAAAAAGACATCGACAAGTGTCTGCCTATCACTGTTCTAATCGGAGCATCGTTCACTGACACAAACAGACGTGGTTTAACCAATCATTAACCTAAAACAAACATGGTTTAACCAATCATTAACCTAAAGTGAAACGTCACTCAACTTGACAATTAAGGGTGAAATAGAATGCGATCGTGACAAGATGCTAATGGTATGAAATTATAAACGCTGCAGGGAAATTGGTGGACTTTATAGCCTAAATAAGATAAAACGTTTTGGATTTTAAACTGTAATTCGATCAGAAAGACAAATGTTTACTAAACATATAACGTGTTTAAAGCCACATATTTTTCTGATTACCTAATACCACAAAGCGACCGTACAGGCTACCATATTAATTCCTTTGCACGGATAATTGTCTAAAAAAATAAAATGCTTCTTAATTTAACACAAAAGAATAATTGCGATGCAGTTCGTTGTCCAGAAAACATTCGTACCTGCATTGGTAATGAAGGCCCTACTTTTCTTTTAAATCAAGTTGAAACATTTTTATTTGATTTTGGCTTTTAAAACGTTAATATAAATGATCCTTAAGAGATTGTCTGAAACGTAAAACAAAACTTCAGAATCTTCGACATCATTTAATTCCCACCAAGACCACGGTGAGAGGCTTAGCTGCATAATAGTTATTTTTACACACCATGAAAACTGCGTAATTGTGTCATATCAAAAAGGTCACATACAAATTATACACACACACACACGCATATATATATATATATATTTAGTGATAATTTTTATTGGTGCTTCATAATTCATTTTTTAGCCTTCTTTCGCATTAACTGCTCCTTTTCTATGTCTAGACTTAGTATCAGTTTTTAGAGACGTTTTATTACACAATTTTAGATAAAGTTGATAAATGACTCTTCCCTTTTTATGTGAATTTGCTTTAAAACAGTGGTTCTTAACTTTTTTTGCTCCATGCCCCACCTCGACACCTCAAAAAATTTGATGCCCCCTTAATATAAAAACAAATTTGGTGTTGAAAAGGCATTATAATAATATAATGTAAAATTCAGAAATTGACCAAAATTTCACACCCAAATGAAAAAATTTTCTTATTGTAGCATTTACAAATTGCCCCCCTGTGGGGCGTGCGCACCTTGTTCAGAATCACTGCTTTAAACATGCTCGCCTTTTCAGCCGTGGGGGCGTTATAATGTGACGATTAATCCCACTATTCGTTGGTAAAATAGTAGTCCAAGAGTTGGTGTGGGTTGTTTATGACTAGCAGCCTTCCCTGCTAAATGTCACTGCTAAATTAGGGACGGCTAGCGCAGATAGCTCTCGTGTAGCTTTGCACCAAATTCAAGCAACCAAACAGTACTATTCACGGAGCAAGCTTTCCCTATTTATGAACGTACAAAATCAAGGTTAAGAATCGCTTGTTCTATAACCCCTTTATAAACAGTTAACCTGAAACTTATGGGTGCTTTATAGCAAAACTTTCTCACACTATATTCTTCTTATTATAAAGTAGTATTTTAGAGAAACCTACATTCTTCTTTGTGGTATTTCTACAAATATGTAAACTCTGATGGTTTATTAACAAGTCAATATTTGCTTCAACAAACTGGAACGACGTTCTGCTAATCCACTCACCCCTTTCCCAATTCCAGTACGGACGAATACAAAAGATACATCTTTACAATGTATATATGTGAGTAGTCAACGTCAAAGAATCAAAAGGCGTCAAGACGGTCACTATTAGCAAGAACCCCGTTTTCGCACTTTGTCATAACCTTGTTTCTTGTTAAATAATCGTTTGTCATTTTTCTCTCGAGCTGTCTGTGATCTGTTTCGAAGCCGTATATTGAATAACAAAACCAAAACCTAAGTTCACTGCGTGACTCACTGTGTGGAAGAACGTGTACCATATCGATTCTTATCACACACGAAAGAAGACAGCATGACAGTACCTACGTAAGAAAATATTTGTCAGGAGCGCTTGGCATTTACGTGATTGGAAGTATCACGTGAGTAGATTTTACCACCTCTTTAAATGCAGAACGGTTTATATGGTGCATAAACGTTATGGTTAATCCACTGCTCTAAAAACAAAGTACGATTATCATATTCAGTAGGAGAAACATTAGGTCTAGCTACTCTAAACGCCAGTGAAAAAAACAAAAACAGGTTAGTTTTTAAACTACCAGCATTCCTGTAATTCAGAAAAGGCCTCAGCGCGAGTTTTTTGTGTTACCAGTAGTATCAAGCTATTATGTAGTTCTATAACGATTGAAAAACAATAGTGAATGTTCATCTCTTTTATATGACGACAGCACATAACAAACAATAGAACGAGGAACGCTAAGTCCTATTGTAGCAGACCAGCGTGTTCGTTAATATCCTGATATAAGCTCCAGATTGTGCAATCTGCAGTTGAAAGGAACTGTAAACGAAATAAAATTTATTTATTTAAGTTTTAAACGCATTGTCTAATTCTCCGAACCAGCAGTTAACGTTCTTTCTTTATGTGCTGTCTATCTCCGTATTTTAAAGACATTTTAATGCGAAGTTTCCAACTTTTGGAATTACATGCTGTAATCACGTAACCAGAAGTAACACTTCAGATGTATCATGTGAATACAAGTATGATCTTTTCGCAAGACTGAATCGTGTTCAAAATCGTTATGACGAAAGCAGTTTTACCCAACAGACATCAACACTCCCGAAAATAGTATAGAGAAGATGATGACACGTGCATTCCACGTGGATGTGGTGAAAGCGGGCCGAGTGCAAAATGAAGCAGACGTTGACTCCACCTGCCACGTGACACAAGAAGTCCCTGAGCAGCGTGTTATTTGAATATTATACTAAGCTTATCAAGATTTAAAAACAGACACAAGACACGTGGAACCCAAAACTGCCACGCCAAACAAAACGTGTTGTTCGTATCGCATTTCATTGTAAATTACCTACGATTTATAACCACCATTTTTGATTTACTTATGACGTTTCTTTTTAGATATTGCGCATGCACTGACTAAGGCTGTTTCTGTGGAGGAACAACGATCGCAAGTAAAACGATAACATTAAAACTTGTTACAAAACTTCAGATAATAGTTGTTTATTAAAATATTCCATATATGTGCTGTACTACCCATACATATCGATATATGTATTATCCAGAAGACTGTACCTCCAAATAGGTTCGACACCTTTATAACCATGTAGACAGGTGCCATGTGGAAAGAAGTCCAAATATGGCTATCGGTTATTGAAACAACTATACCAAGTTTATGTCGACCTGAAACTAGTTTTAAAATCATTGCACTAACTTAGCTTAATGTTAACCACTGCTTATGAGCGACTGACTAGATTAATCTACATGATAGTTTGGGATTTGCCAGTTTAAACGAAATATAAGATAAGGTTGCGACAAACAAACAAACTATGGTACTAGTGAAATCGGGGAATTGAGAATGATGAAACAACAAAATGCTAAGGAAATTCGAAAAAAAAAAGCTTTAAAATCAGGAATATTATGTACCTCTAAATTACTGCTAATAATCAAAGGATAAACTAAAATGTAACGTTCATACTAGTAACCTCTTCTTGAAAACAAAACCACTCACTACACAATACTGCTAATAATCAAAGGTTTATTTATTTGTTTGGAATTAGGCACAACGCTACACAGCGTGCTATCTGTGCTCTGCCCACCACGGGTATCGAAATCCGGTCTTTAGCGCTGTAAGTCCGCAGACATACCGCTCTGTCACTGGGGCAATGGTTTGTTTGTTTGTTTTAAGTTAAGCACAAAGCTGCACAATGGGCTATCTGTGCTCTACCCACCACGGGTATCGAAATCCGGTCTTTAGCGCTGTAAGTCCGCAGATATACCGCTGTGCTACTGGGGGCAGGGGGCAATAGTCAAAGGATAAACCAAAAT